ATAATATTAATTTATTATAAATTTTTATTAATTTTTTTTGTCTCACTGCTTTGGCAAGGACCCCCAATATGATACTGAGAAAGAAATATTTTACTACATAGACTTTAAACATGGCTTTTACCTTGATTATTTGTAAATTGTGTCTTCTTAGAATAGAAATTCATTTCTTCTCTTGGTGAGTACTTTTATCGTGAATGGAGATTTCATCAACTGTTCTCTAGCCACTGAAAGTATATAATTCATGGGGCTGGAGAGATAGCTCAGCAGTTAAGAGTGTGCACTGCCCTTGTAGAGGATCCAAGTTCATTTCTCAGCACCGAGCAGTGGCTCACAAACACCTGTAACTCCAGATTTTGGGGCATCTATGCCACTGGCCTCTGTGGGCATGTACACTCATCCACACCGAGAGACACACGGATATACACATAATTAAAATAAAATAAATCTTAAAAAGGAAAGTATCATATAATTCTTATAAAAGAATAAACATAGGATTTATCTTCTAATAGTAAACCATTTGGTATCTCTAGAATAAACACTCTCTAGCATATATGTAATGGCATTTACAAACATTTAAAAATAAACATATGTTTGGACCTCCATGATTTCCTATTGATCTGTAATCATCCCATTCTGTACTATCCTGATCTGGTGGTGATATCATCTCAAAATAATATGGGCAGGACTCTTTCTTTGGCTATCTTATAAAAAAAATTTTCCATAATCTTGCAATTATCTCATCCTTGAATTTTTTTTCTCAAATCACCTGCAAAACACTCTGGATTTGGAGTTCTGGAGATTTTAGACTTGTTGGCTCAAATACTTCAATAATTAAAGGATGACTTCCTTAAACTAGCTGTATGTTTTTATTTGTTTTTATTTATTTATTTATTCATTTACATATTTAGAAAAATCATTTTGTTATTCTTTTGAATTTCCTTAAAATTTTATTACTGCCTAGAATCTCTTCACTTATTTAACTTCATTACATCAAGACAGTTACACAGAAATAACTAATCCTGTTTCTTTTCTAGTTAGTTCCTGAGTTTGTTGTTGATATTCCGTACCTTAGTCTTTAAATTTTCTTAATTGAATTTTTGCAATTTTCATACAATATAATTTGGTGGTATTTAGATCCCCTCTCCTATCCACACCTCCCCATCCCCTCCCCCAGTTATCCCCCCCCCGGTGTGTGTGTGTGTGTGTATATATATATAGAGAGAGATTTTTTAATAGTTTTTCTATGTTTTAATTTCTTTTATAATGTACCTATATAATAATATAGCCAGTGGAGTCTAATTTGTGTCCCCCCATGTCCTTTAGTGTGGGTCCATCCACTGGAACCTGGTCAACCTATCAAGAGTCCCACACTTGAAAGAGGTTGTCTCATCCCCTCCCAGCAGCCGTCTGTTGCCACAATTTCCTTAGGTGGGGCTGGTGCTTCTTATCCACTTCATAATGTCTACACTAGGATTTTTTTTTCTGGTTTGAGCTTGCATGGGACTTGTGCATGCTGTTACCATTGCTGTTTACATGAGTAACGGAC